GGCAGGAGTTTCTGGATGGCTATGTCCACCATGGATTGCTCAGAGCTGCGGTGTGGCTGCTCTACCAGGAGAAGGAAACGCTGAACCTCCGGCGGGAGAACGACTACTTGGTTCTTTGGGACAGCAAGTTTGGGTTTCTGGATGGCTATGTCCAGAAGACGAGCTGGGTACTGAATGTGAGCGCGCGGGGTGTTTGGCAGACTTTCCGACTGGAACATCGTGATCGTGTGGCGAGGAACCGTGACTGGAGTGGAGTGGCTGGAGAATCTCCAGGACTATCTCATGCCAGTGGGTTTGGATCCGCGGGACAGATCCACGGCGGGCGTCAAGGTGGAGAGTAGCTTCCTCGACATCTACATGACCAGCAAGTCCCGGAGCCGATACAACAAGTTGAGCGCGCGGCAGCAGCTCATCTGCGCCCTGATCGCAAACAGGATCCAATTGATGCACATGTTTGCCTGGGTGGAGGTGCCCCAAAACACAACCATAAGGTGTTTGTTAGTGGAGGTGTCTTCCTTGTACACTCGGCCCGAGCTCCGGTGTCCGAGGGCTGAGAGTTGGAAGTTTGGGCGATGGCTTCCAGCTGTGCTTTCTAGAGTTTACAGCTATAACTTTCAACTGATTATGTTAAAATTAATATTAAAATGCTTAATCTTGATGTTAAAATGCTTGAAAATTCAATGTGCCCAAAAATGTTCTATACTTTTCCCAACAGAGCTGGGATCCCAGATAGTAATTATTTTGTAAGTTATTAGAAAATAACCATTCTTGAACTAATTTATATTGTAAAAAGTATCCTGGATGTTTACTTTCGACATAATCAGGACAACTAACTTGTAACTAATTAATATTAGCATCAAAAAGTCTTTGAAATCTAACTATCAAAATACTACCTTTAAGAGCTTCTTTCGCTATTATCTATTGAAACATCCGAAACAAAGAAACTTTTCTATCACACCCGTCATCTCCATGAAGAACCAATCCTCGTAAAAGACTTGCGATCACGCAATCCGCCTATACACAAGGAACTCTTCCTGTTCTTCCGCCTCCTACACTGCCGACCGATCCATCGCTCGAGTGACTCAATTGTGGCGAGGGTTGGGATCGTTTTCTTGCAGAGGTGATCGGCGTCGTACGGGGAAGAAGATGATGCTGCTTGCTCCTGCAAAGTCGCGGTGACCTCCATCACCATGGATGGCGCTCTGGAATCAAGCCTCGGATCGCTGCTGCGGGGAATTGCGCCAGAGATTTTGTAGCACCCACTGTGGGGGCATAAAAATTTGTGGGTAGCACACAATCACATTCTGGATTTCTCTTGACCTAAGAATGGGGGAAGCGTAGCCAGTTCAGCAATAGATTCTGATGCTCTGCCCACATTGACAACTTTATGTAGATTATTAAAGTGCTTTGGTTGAATGGCAAACTACGGCTCTAGAGTTGAATTCGCAATCTAGTGCCTACCCAGCCTCTTGCAGATATTCCTTATTGTCTTTGGACCGGGAAGCAAGTCAGCTTGAGACATCTACGAGTTTTTTATGCAAAAGTTTCTAACAGTCATCGCAGAAAATTGGAGCCGAAGAGCATTCCTTGCATCATGGTTGGCTATTGTCTCGAGACTAAAGCTTATCGTCTTTACAACATGGCCACCAGATCAATTCTTATCAGCAGAGATGTCCAGTTTGATGAGAATTCTCTTTACAAGCATTGTTATAAAAATCCTGAGACTCCATCTTATGTTTTACTTTATGATGAAGAGGACGTTTCTAGGGCATCTGGGCCGCAGCCGCACTCCTCAGCAGCAGGTCGAAGCAGAGTCGCAGCCCCCACTCGAGCCTAGTCCTGTCACACCCGAGCAAGAAGATGAAGCAGTTACGCCATTTGATGACGCCTTCATTTTTCCAGGTTTGTTTGATGAACCAGAGGAGGAGGAGTCTCCACCAGGGCAGCCGCAAGCAGAGCCTAGTACTCCTGTGGCTGCAAGATCTCAGCAAGAAGCCGATCCAATTATTCCCAGCAAACCTTATCGGACTGTCACACGCAGCTATTTATCGCAAGCAGCTCAAGATGCTCAAGACTCCGGCCTCAAATTGCTGTCAGTCATGGAGCAGCTTCCTTCTGAACCAGGCACAGTTTGTGTAGCTCTCCAATCACCAGAAGCAGGACAGTGGAAGGCTGCTATGCAGGAGGAGTACAACTCTTTGGTACGTAACAAGGTTTGTGAGTTTGTTTCTCTTCCACCAGGCGGGAAAATTGTCAGTACCAAGTGCAAATTGGATGCCATTCGAGCAGTGACTCGACATCGAGCTCGCTTTGTAGCAAGAGGATTTAGTCAAGTACTTGGTGTGGATTTTTCTGAGACTTTTTCGCAGGTGGCTAAAATGTCTTCTATAAGAATTATTGCAGCATATTGGGATCTGGAGTCCATCAGCTTGATATCAAGATGGCCTTTTTATATGCTAAGTTTAAGGAGGAAGTCTATATTTCTCAGCCAAATGGATTTATTATCCTAGGACAGGAACCTAAGGTGTGTCGACTTAAGCGTGTGGCTTGAAGTAGGCTCTTAGAGTGGTATGAGCACATGGACAAGTTTCTTTCCTCCATTAACTTTAAGAAGGATAGCAATGTGTATATTTCTAGCTTTGGAGCTGCGACAGTACTTATCCCAGTTTAAGATTTCAGCGACTGGACATCTTTCTTATTGCCTTGGGATCCAGGTGCTTTGGGACAGAGAAGCATCGGTCATCGAGCTCTCTCAAGCACATTATGTTGAAGAAATCTTGCACAAGTTCAACATGCAAGATTGCAAGCCCATGACAACGCCCATGGATCCAGGTCTTGTGCTGTCTATTGAGCAAAGTCCCAACTGTGAGGAGGAGAAAGCAATGATGGTGAAAGTTCCATATCGACAAGCAGTTGGATGCCTTATTTATCTAGCCATCAGTACTAGACCAGATGTAGTTGGAGCAATCTACAACATTTCCTTCATTTGGCATATTAATCATTTCTTACTTTCATAATTTTCATTCTTAAGTATATATTATCCTCCTCATAGTATGTGTAGTTTAGAATCTTACATTTTTTTTTGGTGTCTCTAATAATTTCTTCAAAATCTAGTCTTGAATATTCCCCTATTCTAAAGAGTTTATATTGAATGTATTTCCCTAATAATGAATGTTGTTAAGAGGCTTTGTCTTACAGCTAAAGAGTCTATCTATTCCCTTGAAATTGCAAAAGCATTTTCACTTTCCCATATTAAGTATTGACTTTAATGTTAAGGAAGTTGAGCAATATAGGATAAAGTATTTTATAATAGGATGTTCTATAATATTAAGCCCTTTAGGATATAATTTTATTCTTTTTTCTATGCTTTTGCATTGAATATTATTGAGAATTCCTCTTCTAATAATTCTTTATCCACTAATTCTATTTCCACTTATTTTTATTCTTGATTCTTTCCACTTTCTCCTATTTGCCCTAATATTTTAAACATTTTTGTCTTTGGATGAGGGGGTAAAGTAGATAAAAACTTGACCCTAATGATAAAAAGATGACAAGTGACAATAATATTGGAGTGAGGATGAATGGCATAGATTGTAGAGTGAGAATAAGTTTAGAAAGTCTTAAAAGATTATACAATTCGATGAGTGAGGTCAAATATATTAAAATTTTAGAGAGTGGAAGTTTTTTTCTTGCATAGAACTCTGCCCTAAGAAGAGTCCTTTATCTACTCTTTCTTCACTCTTAAAAGGAAAAAGAGTTTTTAAACTTTAGCTTTATTCAAACTTGCTGCATTTTATCCTCACTCTACCATCTATATTTAACCGCACTTCATTATTATAGGTTACATGTAATTAAAAATGCTATATTATTAATATAGTTTTTGCTAATTTTTTTAATTTTTATAAGTAATGATTACTCCATTTTATTTGTTTACTAAGTTCCAGGCACTAGGAGAAAAAAATTTTGGGTGGGGGGGGGGACACACACTAGATTCCCCCCCTTCCCCCAATTCCAATCCTAGATCACTAATGGGGTGTATGGAACAAAATTCCCCCCCTTTAAAAACATCCCCCATAGGGACATATAAAGCTTTGGCCTTATATACTATACTAGATAAAGATAAAGATCATAAATCCAAGTTAATATAGGCCTTGGAAGCTGACTAAAGAGAAGAGGTAAAAATAGGTTTTATTGATAAGTCTAAGCTAGATTTAGAGGCTCCCTAAAGGGCAAATATAAAAACAAGATTTTCCATTTATTACAGTGATGTTTGGTGAACAGTTATTCTTGAAGTTCTCTACTTTCGTTATAGTTTCAAAGTATTTGGTAGATATGCAGAAGGTTATAATTGGTTAAATGGGATTTCATAGTTAGTTGATATCTATGCCATGGATTTGTGGGGTAGATCCATCGGGGCCTCGCATTGAGATTAATCTTGTATTTATAATTTATAAACATGTTTATAATGTAAACTTTCATTTGATCCATTGGATTAATAAATCTACTATTAAGAAACATAAGTGTTGTTGTGATACACTACTATTAAATGTTGCTGCATGCACCATATCCAACATACAATAAATTATTCAATATAGTAATAGTTTTAAATTTTTATTTACATAAATATGACTATGTATAAATAATTTTTAAACATAAATCACATAGATGTTTCATATAAATAGCTAGCTAGAACATGAAAAAAATTCAGGCCAAAGTAGATAAACAGATCCTCTGATGCAAACATCAGAAGTCTACCATCGGTTTCTGCAAAACACCAAACTCAAAATCAACACATGCTCACAAAGAATCCTAGCTACTGGAGGTGGAAAATTAGAATCCATGTGAGGAGGCTGAACATTAGAATCCAACTGCTGGGGTGTCACCACACGATCTACGGCATCCAGCACTTCCGCCCAATCAGAGGGGGGCATCGCTCAATGCGAGGTAAGTTTCTGCTTCCGCGCGCGTCGCAAAACCCTTAAACTGAGCCATAGCTTCAAAACACGAACACGGCATTCAATTTTTTGAACACGAACACAGAACACGGAAATGAACACGGATAAACACGGGTGAAAACACGAATATTCTCTAGAATATTCTACTTATCACTCCATCTCATCTAAAAGCTCCTCATTAGCAGGATCATCATCTTCGTCTTCGTCCTCTTCTTCCATGGCTTCAATATCAACATCAGTAATTTGAGGAATACTTCCTGTCTGGCTCAAGTCACTTGGAGCATTGACCGAGTCAATGAACACGGCCTGTGTTAACACGGCTGGGGGCCGTGTTCATGTCACCACGCCAACATGCCGTGGTGCACGGCATGTTTTGAAGCACTGAACCGAGCACCAGGGTAGCGATGAACCTAGGATAAAATGTAAATCCAGAATGAAACAAGCGCAGCAAACCTGTGCACTGCACTCCTCCCATGTGTGGTAGATCCCAGGCTGCCGTCCACACACATTCTTGGGCGAGTGAAGACTTAGGGTTCTTGGGTTTAGGGTTTTGTTGCGATGAGCGGCAAATGCGAGGAGTGTGGGCAGAGCGCCGCCAAGTACAAGTGCCCCGGCTGCGGCTTGCGCTCGTGCGGCTTATCCTGTGTGAAAGCGCACAAGGCTCGAATCGGCTGCACTGGGAAGCGCGATCCGACAGCGTTTGTGAAAATCTCGGATTTCGATGACAATCGGATCATGTCGGGTAAGTGGATTCGATTTGCACCTAGTGAGGATTCTTATGTGGAGTTGTAGATTATAATTTTCTCGAGGAGGCTCTGAGAGTGGCTGATGTTGCGAAGCGATCGAAATATAAGTCTTTTGTGGGAGGCCGCAAGCCGGGCGTGTTGAAGGAGCTGATCTACCAGGCTCGCTTTCGCAAAACCAAGTTTGTTCACATGGCAAATGGAATGTCGAGAAGGATAGCTAATACCACGTACTTCAACAGGAAGTAAGCTCTCCCACTTTCCTCCTCACGGATTGTTCTTTGCTAAAGCTTTAAATGCACTCTAGGCGGAAGTGCATGTACTGGAGAGTTGAATGGATCTTTCATTCCACCGACATTCGCCTTGTTGACGAGAAGTATGTTCATCCCTGCTCGACTCTTCAAGTGTATTGACTGACACGATTCCTCTATTTTTTCCAGTTTGGACGAGCATGTCAACCTTGGTACCGTGCTTGAGAAACATTTATCGCCCCAGTCGCACAGTCCGACCGCTCGACACCAATTGCGGGACTTTTTGCAGCAACCAGTAGATCAGCTGAAGCTTCTCTTCAAGAAAGAGCTCGATGATGTAAGAACTTGTGTGTGTGTTTTGTATCCGGTTGCTAATTCTGGTAACCATCAGGCCAAAGAATCGTACTACGAGCTAAACATCAACGAATCTCTTCGCCAGCAGCTTTCTTTCAAGACAGTATTGGAGTTTCCAGAGATCAGGGTCGTGCTGCCGTCCGATATAGACAGGTTTTCCATTGTAGAAGAAGAGCCGAAGCCCGTCAAGCCTGCTGCTTCCCCTGTTAAATCAGTGGCGGAAGAGTTGGTCGAGCAAACTGGTAAGACGTTTCGAGAAGAGGAAATCAAGGACGAAGAGCAGGACAAAGAGCAGGACGATATGAAAATGTATGATTTCCTCGGAGATCTACCAGGACAGGCAGACTTACTATGGAAAAGTATGGAGGTCCAGCCGCCAAGTTTGATGAATGACGTGGAAGACGGAGAACTCTCGGGCTAGTTTCTGGGACACACAGGCTTTCTTTTCCAAAAGTTTTGTAGAATTCGCATTAGAGTTCGATGAAAGCAAAGAGAACAGATGAGATGAAGATGAGGAGACCAGAGGCCGACAAAACTATGAGGGGAATTCCAGCGCGTTCCGTCCAACTGCTATCACAACTAAAAGGTCCCAACCTCAGCTCGATGAGACTAATCATAGACAGCATGAGGAAGATCGTCCCAGCGACAGAGCCTATGGCCGATGCCAGCATTCCGAGCCTCAAGAGGCGGTTGTTAATCTCCGCGGCCTGGGATTCTTCGATGTGTGTGCTGTTGGCGAATATGATGTAGAGCTTGAGTCCGTGAGCTACAAGGCTAGAGAATAGGAAGGAAGCAAACGCGAGAACTTCGTAAAGAAAAAGGTACTTCACTGCATCGGGTCCGACGGGGCAGTCTGTTTCCAAAGCGGCTGCTTTGGTGCTGGAGAATGAGAGGCCCAAGAACACAGCTATGGTGAAGAAGGAATTCACAGCTACGACTTCGTCCAGCGTGGTGACATGAACCTGGGTGGCTCCTTTGAAGGAAACCATTCTGCGGGAGGAGCTAGATGGGAGCAGCGTCTTGCCGTCCATTGGGAGAGAACGCAATAGCAAAGGTGTCGAATTACGACAAAGTTCTCGACAGTGACAATTCCGTGGGGACCGTGTTTACGTTCTGACCGGGTCACGTTGGAAGAACACGCTGTCTCCCGGGTGCCTTGTCAGTGAAGGAAAGCATAAAAGACAGCCGAGATGAAGATGACAACGCCAGTAGAGACGAGGACGATGAGCGGGACGGCAGCCTGAAGCACCCAGGAATCGCCGCAGACGAGGCTTCCAAATCTCAACTGGACGTAGTTGATGAGGGAGAGCATGAGGAAGACGGTTCCAGCGCCAGATCCGACTGCTGACGCGAGTATCCCCAGGCGTAGCAGCTTGTGGTTCATCGTTGCCGAGTCCACCGAAGCCTCTTTGCTGTTCTTGAAAACCATGAGGAGCTTGAGGCCGTGCGCCACGAGGCTCGAGAACTGGAAGAAGCTGAAAGCGACGACTTCGTAGACAATGAGACGCTTGAAAGTGGAGGGGCCGGGGATGCATTCGTGCTTGGCGTCGTTGGGAGAGCCAACGTGGAGGTTGGAGGTGGTGAGCGTGATGCCGACGAAGACCGCGACAGTGAAGAAGGAATTGACACTTACGACTTCGTCCAGGGCCGTGACGTGAACCTGGCTTGTGCTTGCGCTGAAATGCCGGCGAATGCTCTCCAGCTCCGATGGAGTTCTACAGCGAGAAAGAACTGCTTGAGGAGGATCAAGTCGGAAGAAGCTGTTACCTGGCTACTCGGTAGGGGATTTTGTCCATCGCCTCGCCATCATCTTCCATTTTTTGCGGATCGAGCTCTTCGTCAACAGGGCACATAGGAGATTCGCAGATGGTCCAGAGGAATCCAATGCTCTTTTACGCCGAGATTAACGGGTGACTTACGGGCAGCGTAAAACTAAAGGACGCTACCGTTTTCGCATGAAAGCTTAAAGAGGAAAGTCCAGATTTACGATGACTCTTCAAGCAACGCATGCAAGCTACACGACTAAGATTTAGTAACTTCAGTTTACGGCAGTTGGAAGATCTGAGTTTCTTGGATCCGTATAAATTTCGAGCTCAGGAGATGGCACCGCCGCGTCGCGAAACCAACCAACCATGGGTGGAAGAACAACGCAGATTGTTGCGGCCGTTGCGTTTCTATGGCTGGCTTGTCTAGCTCGCGACCGCACTGCTGGTAAGTCATTCCTTCCTTGTATTATATGTTTCCTCTCGTTCTTATTGAGTCTTGTTTTGCTTGCGTCCATCAGATGCACAAGGAATGGGAATCAACTATGGAACTCTTTCAAACGAGATTTTGCGTCCGCCAGAGGCTGTTGGACTGATCAAGGACCTCGGGTTTGACAGAGCCAAGATCTTTAGTGCCGACTCCTCGATCATCCGGGCGTTTGCAAACAGCGGCGTGAAGTTGTCGGTGATGGTGGCCAACCAGCAAATCCCGGAGATAGCATCAAGCCAGAGCAGTGCAGACGCATGGGTGAAAAAGAATGTAGCTGCGTACTATCCAAAGACAGCCATAGACTCTGTTCTAGTCGGCAACGAGATTTTATCAGACAGTAGCATTCGAGAGTCGACTTGGCCGAAGTTGGTTCCGGCGATGGAGAAGATTCAATCAGCGCTTGAGAAGTTTGAGCTAGCAGGTTCCATCAAGGTGTCAACGCCCCTGGCTTCCGATGCTCTGGGAAACTCTTATCCTCCATCGGCTGGCTCGTTCAAGAGTGACATTGCAGAGTCCATCATCCAGCCGCTTCTCGAGTTTTTGTCCCGAACGAACTCCTTCTACTGCGGGAACGTCTATCCATACTTTGCTTGGGCTGGCAATCCTGGCGAGATCCCACTCGACTACGCGCTCTTTGGCTCGCAGCAGGAGGTGGTGAGAGATGGGTCACTCAGCTACACAAACTTGTTTGATGCGATGGTCGATGCCACCATCTCTGCAATCGAGAAGCTCGGCTTTGGTTCTCTCGATTTTGCTGTGTGCGAGACCGGCTGGCCGAGTAAAGGTGACGGTTCTCAGCCAGGCGCTACAGTCTCCAATGCTGCTCGCTACAACAACAGGCTGATCGCGAAGACCCTCAGAGCTCAGGGAACTCCCAAGAAGAGAGGCTACTTTCCGACGTATATCTTCGCTCTCTTCAACGAAAACCTCAAGAACGGTGCGGTCACTGAGCGGAACTTTGGCGTCACGTATCCGAATGGAGAGCTGGTTTACGCTTTGGATATCGCGGGAGGTGAGCGTGACACCCATGATGACACTGGTTCTTCTGGTGGTGGAAATGGTACTGAAAGTCCTCCCGGCGGTGAGAATGGTGGTGATGGAAATGGTAGCACAGGACGGAAGGAATGGTGTGTTGCCAACTCTGATGCTTCTCAAGCGCCGCTTCAGGCTGCTCTAGATTATGCTTGCTCCAGTGGAGGGGACTGCACTGCGATTCAACCCAACCAGCCGTGCTTCTTTCCGGAGACGATGGTTTCTCGCGCCTCGTATGCGTTTAGCAGCTACTACAGCAAGATGAAGAGCTCCGGCGGCACTTGCGACTTTAACCAAGCAGCTCACGTAACCCAAACAGATCCAAGTAAGTTTTTTGTTTTGTTTCTCTTTTCTTACGAGCTTCTTTACGCAGGCTATGGATCTTGTGTCTATCCCAGTCCAGCATGATCGACTCTTGGACTCTTAACTACTTCAATGGCTGTTGTACATACGAGCGGTTCGTTTATCTTTTATAGACTTACATTGTGTCACGTAACGGTTTTTAAAGTTCCAAGCCAAGCGCTTTGACAAGCTTTTGTGATGGATTTCAGAGGATCGCCATTGGCTTTGTTCTCTCAGTTGTGGTGGTGTTTGCAGAGAATGAGAACGATCCTCCTCGAGTTTCTGTGGTCGAAGGGATCGTCTACTGTCAGGATTGTCAAGGGCATTGGACAAAGAAGATCTCAGGTACTTTGAAAGCTCCATTCTCACCAGGATTTCCTTCTTCTTTTTCTCTCTTCACAGATGCTCTTGTGAGCGCTGTCTTCAAGAACAAGGCAGGTTGATCACAGCGTACGCCATGGACAACAGTGACGACTCTGGTCAAATTTCCAAGCCTCCACCAAGAAAACACGACTTGCCTTGCACAGCTCGTCACAACATCTGACGAGACTTGCAACAAAACGACCAACGAGGGGGACGGTGCTCAAGGTGCCAAGCTGCGTCCATTCGCTTCTTATTACAACGAGATGTTCTTCAGAGTCGGGCCATTCGCCTTCACTCCACACTACGTACTTCAACAGGAAGTAAGCTCTCCTACTTTGCTCCTCACGGATTGTTCTTTGCTAAAGCTTTAAACGCATTCTAGGCGGAAGTGCACGTCGTTCATTCCACCGACATTTCGCCTTGTTGACGAGAAGTATGTTCATCCCTGCTCGACTCTTCTCGACTCTCCAAGTGTATTGACTAACACAATTCCTCTATCTTTTCAAGTTTGGACGAGCATGTCAATCTTGGCACTGTGCTTGAGAAACATTTATCGCCCCAGTCGCACAGTCCGGATCAGCTGAAGCTTCTCGTCGAGAAAGAGATCGATGACGTAAGAACTTGAGTGTGTTCTTTCTTTATATCCGGCTGCTAATTGTGGTAAACATCAAGCCAGAGAATCTTCCTACGAGCTAAACATCAACGAATCTCTTCGCCAACAGCTTTCTTTCAAGACAGTATCGGAGTTTCGTTGTGCTGCCGTCCGATATAGACATTGTAGAAGAAGAGCCGAAGTCCCGTCAAGCCTGCTGCTTCGCCTGTTAAATCAGTGGCGGAAGAGTTGGTCGAGCAAACCTGTAAGACGTTTCAAGAAGATGAAATCAAGGACGAAGAGCAGGACGATATGAAGATGTATGATTTCCTGGGAGATCTACCAGGATAGGCAGACTTACTATGGAAAAGTATGGAGGTCCAGCCGCCAAGTTTGATGAATGGCGTGGAAGACGGAGAACTCTGGGACACAGGGAAACGGGCTTTCTTTTCCAAAAGTTTTGTAGAATTCGTATTAGAGTTCGATGAAAGCGAAGAGAACAGATGAGATGAAGATGAGGAGACCAGAGGACGACAAAACTATGAAGGGAATTCCAGTGCGTTCCGTCCAGCTGCTATCACAACTAAAAGGTCCCAACCTCAGCTCGATGAGACTTATCATAGACAGCATGAGGAAGATCGTCCCAGCGACAGAGCCTATGGCCGACGCGAGCATTCCGATCCTCAAGAGGCGGTTGTTAATCTCCGCGGCCTGGGATTCTTCGATAAGGTTGCTGTTGGCGAATATGATGTAGAGCTTGAGTCCGTGAGCTACAAGGCTAGAGAATAGGAAGGAAGCAAACGCGAGAACTTCGTAAAGAAGAAGGTACTTCACTGCATCGGGTCCAACGGGGCAGTCTGTTTCCAGATCGGCTGCTTTGGTGCTGGAGAATGAGAGGCCCAAGAACACAGCTATGGTGAAGAAGGAATTCACAGATACGACTTCGTCCAGCGTGGTGACATGAACCTGGGTGGCTCCTTTGAAGGAAACCATTCTGCGGGAGGAGCTAGATGGGAGCAGCCTATCGTCCATTGGGAGAGAACGAAGTGGCAAAGGTGTCGAATCGCGTAACAATCGAACTTAAAGTTCTCGACAGTGACAATTCCGTGGGGACCGTGTTTACGTTCTGACTGGGTTGCGTTTCGTCCGGGAGAGCATTCGCCGGCATTCCAGCGCGAGCACAGGCCAGGTTCACGTCATGGCACTGGACGAAGTCGTAAGTGTCAATTCCTTCTTCACGGCATCAGCATCACACTCACCACCTCCAGCCTACATGTTGGCTCTTGCAACGACGCCAAGCACGACTGCATCCCCGGCCCCTCCACTTTCAAGCGTCTCATTGTCTGGGAAGTCATTGCTTTCAACTTCTTCCAGTTGTCGAGCCTCGTGGCGCACGGTCTCAAGCTCCTCATGGTTTCAAGCACAGCAAAGAGGCTTCGGTGGACTCGGCAACCATGAAACCACAAGCTGCTATACTCGCGTCAGCAGTCGGATCTGGCGTTGGAACCGCTCTCCCTCATCAACTACGCCCAGTTGAGATTTGGAAGCCTCGTCTGCGGCGATTCCTGGGTGCTTCAGGCTGCCGTCCCGCTCATCGTTCTCGTCTCTACTGGCGTTGTCATCTTCATCTCGGCTGTCTTCTGGATGACTTGTCAGTGAAGGAAAGCATACGAGAGAGCGTGTTCTTCTCGAGGAGGATCAAGTCGGAAGAAGTACCTGGATACTCGGTAGGGGATTTTGTCCACGTCTTCCATTTTTGGCGGAACTGCTTTTTACGTCGAGATTAGTGGGTTAAAGCACTCTACCAGCTTAAAGACCATGTATATTTGCAAATAATGTTCTAAAAATGGAATGACACCAGATGATTTACGATGACACTTCAAGGAATGGTGTATTGCCAATTCTGATGCTTCTCAAGCGGCCATTCAATCTGCTCTAGATTATGCTTGCTCCAGTGGAGGGGGGGACTGATGCTTCTTTCCGGAAACGATGGTTTCTCACGCCTCGTATGTGTTTAGCAGCTACTACAGCAAGATGAAGAGATTGCAACTTACCCAAACAGATCCAAGTAAGTATTTTCTTTTTCTACGCAGGCTATGGATCTTGTGTCCACCCCAGTGCATCATGATCGACTCTTGGACTCTTAACCATCGTGTCACGTCTTTGCAAACTTGGGCTTTTAAAGTTTCGAGCCAAGCGCATTGACAAGCTTTTGTGATGGATTTCAGAGGATTGCCATTGGCTTTGTTGGCGCTCTCAATTGTGGTGGTGTTTGCAGAGAATGAGAACGATCCCCCTCCAGTTTCTGTGGTCGAAGGAATCGTCTACTGTCAGGATTGTCAAGGGCACTGGACAAAGAAGATCTCAGGTACTACTTTGAAAGTTCCATTCTCACCAGGATTTCCTTCTTCTTTTTCTGTCTTCACAGATGCTCTTGTGAGCGTTGTCTGCAAGGACAAGGCAGGCTTGATCACAGCGTACGCCATGGACAACAGCGACGACTCCGGTTACTTCCAGATCAAAGTTCCAAACTACGACTGCCTCCACCAAGAAAACACGACTTGCGTTGCACAGCTCGTCACAACATCCGACGAGACTTGCAACAAAATGACCAACGAGGGAGACGGTGCTCAAGGTGCCAAGCTGCGTCCATTCACTTCTTATTACAACGAGATGTTCTTCAGAGTCGGGCCATTCGCCTTCACTCCTTACACTTGCAACGAGTAAAAGCTAAAGAATGTGTCAAGGATGTCAGCTTTTTTACATACACACTTTGGAGAAATCATTTCTAGATGCTCGACTCGCTCGATTTTGCTCCAAAGATCCGGTTGAGTATTGACGCCAGCCTGACCCCACCTTGAGCTAGACGTTGCTCCACGATTGGAAGACGTGATGAGAAGTAGTCATCTATGTAAACAATCAGTGAGAAATTGTCCTCGGAAGAAAACTAGAACGATTTGAAAGTGATGACTGACCTTCGAGATAGGTTCCTTCGAGGGCGTCTTTGTAAGCCCATCTGCAAGAAGTATGTATACTTTCTGTGGCATAGCTGCACGAGGAAGAACAAGCAAAGAAGTGTGGTTAATAGCTCAAACTCGAGGAGATTATTTTACCTGTCAATACAAGCCTCTGGATCGGTCTCACACCTGCTCCACGCATCAAAGTTTTCCTTCTGGAAGAAAAAAGATAACACGTTGTTTTCAAGCAAGCCAGAAGAAACTAGGTCGAGTTCTTACGGTTATGCTCATGCTTATGTTACGAAGCATCCTGAAAATGTCGTGGTAGTATAGACGCTTGGCTCTATCAATAAATTCGGTATCCCAGATCTGGCACACAAAAAGTCAGCACAAACAGAAAATTATGTTCGCTTGAGGATCATAAACTTACATGGTGTAAGTTTGCCTTTCGTCCAAACCAGTGGACATGGACGCCATTCCCTCCAGCATCAGCCGTAAAGGCTACGTGCAGAGGCTATACACAAAAACGCATGTTTTAGATCCTTTCGAGAAAGAGAAAAGGAAAAAAAGAAAAAAAGAAAAAACAAAGACCAACCTGGTGGATGTCTCCAACATAGTGAGCCAGGAAGAGCAGTGCCTCGGTCAAGTTATCTGGATTTGAGAAAGAACATGAGATACTCAACACGGATCCAGCGAAGAACTTACATGATTTGTGCAAAGAGAGCTTTGCTTCCTGAAATGTTTCTAGCTGCCGTGAGTAATTGTTGATAGCACCGGCGACACACATATCCTTTTCTCCACGAGAATCGTGGCAGTCCCCTACGGAAAACCACGCAAGGCCATGAAACTACCAAAGAAGGAAGTTTCCAAAGAGCTTACGATCGTAGTCATAGCCACAGAGATTGTCGGGCGTGTCAATGTAGTGTAGCGGGCCAGTCCATCGAAATCTATATGATCTGCGAATATCATCCGCCCAGGAGCACAATTCTGGCAAATCTCGTCCAGGGAGAAGCTCCTCCAGAGCGGCCTTCGATTCGGAGCTAAGGAAAGGCTGCAAAAGGAAAGAAGAAAACTATGAATCTCCAAACGAATTGGAAATAAGCGCTGTACCTCCGCGATCATACAAGTGAGACGATGGCCTTCTCGCCCCCACGCCGCAGCTCCCACTGCTATGGAAGCAATCAAGATCACACACAGCGCCATTCCATACGCCTTCTCCGCCATGGCTCCTTACGCGAAGCCCTTGAAAATCCCCCTTTTTTTTGCGCTTAGAAAACGCTTAGATATGCTTGCTGCTACGGCAAGAAGGATCGACCGGTAGCGAAAAGGATGGAGAGCTTCCATTCGATCACGCATTGGCATTCGATAGCGCATTGGCAAGAAAGCTTCCAAAAGCTTTAGCTCGATGGACAAAGCCATGAGTAAACCCTAAATATCGGGGACGATGAAGAAGAGGCGATGGCTGGAGCGCGATGGCGATGGCGATGGCGATGGCGCCACCGGGCAGTCGTCTGAGGATTGCATGGTGCTGGTCGCGGATCCAGAGGTGAGAATGCGCTCCATCGCGATCTCTGGAATGATTGCCGGGGCGCGCGGTGCTCAGCTGGGGCCTGTGAGGGAGGCAATGCAACGGAGGCTGTGGGAGGAGCAGGAAATATCGGTGGTCCAGCAGATTGTCACCGCTCTCTCGTCGATCTTCGCGGATGAAACGACCACGTCGTGCTTACAGAGGTACTATCTCTTAGATGGCTGCCCCGAGCCGATCAAGATTCGCATCCTCGCGTCCCTCGTTCGGATTTGCAAGACGAGCAACGAGCATTCGGAGGTGGTGGCGGCACTCCAGCCGGCCTTGTTGCAAGATCTTTACGGGAAGAATCCGGTGCTTAGAATGTGGGGCTTGAAGTTCGCGACGAAGTTCTTTGAGCAGCAACGAAACAAGAGCTGGATCATCGCTGCGCTGCACAAGAGATTTTTTGATACTCATGCTTTCGTGAGGAAAGCTGCCTTGGATGCTGTCATCTCCCTCGACGCGGTGGGATTTAGCTTCCTCGATGGTTTGAATGCTATTGCGCTCCGGCTCTTGGAGGATCACGTCTCGGAGTCCGTTCGACTGTCCGCCATGGAGCTTGTAAGTTTGTTTGCAATTTCCTTGTCCTCTGATATATCTCGTTTACTTTGGGCAGCTCCGGCTATGGGTGATGGAAGTTCAAGCTGGAGAAATCACGGCATCGCAACAACGCGAGATAAACTATACTTATCTAGAGGTAAGTCTTTTGCGCTCTCGATTAGAACTTTCAAGACGTCACTACCCAGATTTGCACCATGCTCACAGACCCGTGCACGCGAGTAAGGAAAGAAGCTTGCCGTGTGCTTGGCACTATGACATCAGTAAGCCAGAAAATTAAGTTGCATTCGGTGAACAAGAAGTCAGTGCTAGTCACCAGTGGTGATCCTTTGATCTCGTGCAACATTAATGGTAAATCGCCACGGACGGCAATTGTGGCGGGTGCTTTTGTTTCTGCTGTCGAGGATGAGTTCCCAGAGGTAGTGGACTTTCTTTTATCTTTCTTATTACCATCTCGTGTTCGCGTGTCCGCAGGTGAGATCTGCTGCTGTGCAAGCTCTTTCCAGCTTGAGTCTGGGTTCTAAAGAAGTCGCAAATGCCGGTGTACTTGGGCTTTTCCTGGACATGTTGAACGACCAAGATCCCGCCGTTCGCAGGGCTTCGATTCAAGCGCTATATGACCTTGCTGGCTGTGGCGTTTTCTGCGTGGAAGACAAACATCTGCGTGTGGTATGTGAAATTGGTCTTTTTTGCTACATGGTTATCACATCACTGATGTTCCAGATTACTGCTACGCTGGAAGACCAAAACAACGAGCTCCGACATGCGGGTCTAAAACTTTTGTCTTCCTTGAAGCTCCCGACGCTTGTCATGTTCGAGTCTGCAGTTCAAACTTTGATGAAGTGCTTAGATCGTCATCCGCAGGTGCCTTTGGTATCTTAATTTCTTTACATGACACTCGATGCTTCAGGATAGGAAGAACGTCTATGAGGCGCTATTATGCCTGGGGAAAGGACACGGCTCTCATGTAGAGGCTCTAAAGTCTGAGCTTTTGACTCAGGTAGCAAGCTTCTTCTTGGAACAATGCTACTAACATGTCTTTTCGCAGGTTAAGTTCGTTGTGAATGGAGAGAAGGGGTTAGATGATCCCAGGTTAAAAGCTATCCTGAACCTTTGCTTGCCAGCATTGCGATCGACAGGCTGGATTTCTTCGTTGCTTCCCAGTGAAATGCTCTCCTGCAAACGAATTACGGATTTTACAAAAGAGCATGCCCCTGCTGAATCTGGTGACAGTTCCAGTACGGTGTTGATTATGGTGCAGCAAGCTATCAAATGTGCTCTACGCGCAGGGAGCGTTTCAAACGACAACCAAAGAGAAACCATCCGGTAAAGAACATCTCGTCTGGATTGTTCACGCTAACCTGTCAAATTGTATCTCCAGCGGCTGCAAGAAGTCCTTACTAGTACTGGAGCGCACTTCGCTCGTCAATTTGGGACTGCTGTACATGGACTGCCTCCAATTGGTCGCACAAAAAAACTCGGCAAAAGAACCTGACCATCAGAAGCTTGGCTCGGTACTAGGACGCATGCAAACCTGTTTCTCTGGATTCTCAGCCTCAGGTGCTCTACAGTTGCTGGAGCTCAACGCGTTTTATATTGTCATCCAGGTGGAAGACGACTCCGAGCTCGTCCAGCGCTTCTCTCAGCTGGCTTCAATAGTCGAGGAAAGTAAGAGCTTGTCGAGCACTTCGGTAGCGTCGTTTTCGCTCTTGCAAGCAGTGGAGGAAAGTTTACGCAGTCAATCAGATCCGGAGAACGTGAGCACTCTCAAGGCAGCTGCTGCTTCTTTCTGGCCGAAGCATGATATTGTCAGTGCCAGTGTCGAGGAAATGCGAGCCGATCTCGCAGTAAATTCCAGCAGCTTTGAGCACCGGCTGAAAGTTTTGATGGCGAAGTATCCTTTTCACTTCACTGCGAGCGGTGCTGTGCATCACATTACAGCCGGAAGTAGAATCTGGGTACAGATGGAGCTGGAAGGATTCCCGTCGCAGTACAGGTGCTTGGAGCTCGAAAGGAAATCCAAGGAAGACAAGTTAGTCGAGTTTAGCGAAGAGCTCGGCTTTTACAACGTGCCATCGGTTAGCAAAGCGGCCTTACGAGTTTCCATCGTTGTGGAACTTGCAAAGGGGAAGCTTTCGGCTCTGCGCGGCCCTCAAGCTTGTCTAGCTCCAATCTCTCCGGAACGAGTCATCTATCTCGAGGGAAGTTAAGCAAAAGGTTCTCTCGTCCATATTATTCTTCTCAAGTTTTTCCAGTCGCTATACACGTCCTCGTCAAGGAACGAACTCTATACGAGAGGCGGATCAACACTACAGACAGCGTCCGGTAGAAAATTGCCATCCCGGCGAGAATGAGAAGACTCCACCACTTTCCGGGGCTTGCGGGAAAGTTGTACTCGCCGTAGACAATGTAAGCTCCGGTGTGACCACCGTAGCGAGACCCCAGGAACTCGTTTTGAAACATTCCCTGTGAAAGTAACCCACACATCAACAATCCTTGGAATCCTGGAAGAAATCTTTTTACCCGCAGCGAGTGTGCATGGAACGAAATGTAAGACGATGGATACTTCCAAAACGCCTTCGGCAGATTGTTGTCGTGACGAACGTATCCTCCGACCAGCATGAACAGCACCTGTGATCGTTGCAAAGAGTTTTAAGAAAACAACTTGGAAATGTGGAAGACTGCTCTGCAAACCTGGACGCACGATCCTAGTATCATTCCAGTGTAGGCGTTTGGAACAATGCAAGAGATGGCCATCATGAGGCTCTCGCTGACGATCAAGCTGAGGTACAAGTTGACGACGAAGTAGATGAACTTGAGTGCTCCAGAGTGGAGACCCGCCAGGAAGTACATGCTGCAAAGCGGGACGAGGGAGATGAGTAACAGGAATGGAAGCGACGCGATTGAGTTGGCAACGACGAAGTTGGCGACGCCGTAGTGACAATTAACCATTTCTCTCACGTGCATCTGATGTAAATAAAATAAAATACTTCAGCCACCTCTTAGTTTATGTTTCCAGTTCGTCTACCTTGACCTCGTTGTACATGTAAGGCACGCCTCCAACAGACAGGTATATCATTCCTTCGAGAGCGAGAAAGATGCACGCTGCTCTGGCCTGTGGGGGAGGGGGGGACAACAGCGAGGATTGGAATATCAAAATTTTCGGATCAAACCTCTATAGAGCTCTTCGAGTGATCCAGTCTCAGGAAAATTGTGCCGATTGAAAGCATGTACAGGAACGAGAGAAGTATCCGGATCCAGTAAAATCCAAGAGCTCTCGTTGTGTTCAGCAACGATCTGTAGCTTAGAGTGAAAAATTCAGAGCGTGAGGCAGGACGCTTTATCCTGTTCACCAGTACTCCTCCTTTCTGCATCACGTAACAGTGTGTTCTCAGCGTTAGTATATAAACATAGAAAGCCCTCGAAGTTTTAAATAAGTCTTGCCTTCTTGACAAGCGTATTAACTTTACAGACCAATGCTGCATTGAAATCGGAGCTTTGATAGGACGCTGATAGGAAATTAACTATCTGGTGATGGTCCTCCTTTGCAAAAGCTTCAGCTTTTTCCGCGTCCTGCACGGATTGATTAATACATGCCTTACGAGAATGAGAAACAGGGTCCTAATACCTGAACGTAAAGAAATGGAGCACGAAGCTTCTCGAATTCGGCACCGATCGTATAAAGGAAGTGATCACTAGGATTATGATTAGGCGGGCAAGGAAATCCCGCCGTGGAGAAGTGCTGAAGAAAAACCACGTAAGTAACATACAGATATGTTTGAGATGTTTACCTCCACTGCTGCGATGTTGTCACCAAAAAACACCATTTTCCCATTGCTTAGCAAGCACAAATCATCCAGAAGTTCATAAACCTGGCTGGAGACATGCTCAGTGCACATAATGACAGTAGCTCCACCTCTGGCCAATCCCTTCAGCTTGATAAGCAAGGAGAGCACAGAAGCTCTAAGAACGTAATATGAGTAACTTAAAACCAACAAATATTTGAGAAGTAAAACATACCCCTCCAGGCCTTTGAATGCATCATCAAAGTAAATCAAGCTGGGACCAATAAGCAGTTCCACTGCAAGGTTGACAAGTCTTCTTTCACCCCCACTGATTCCCTTGTGAGGGCACTTTCTAACATATCTGTAGGCCAACTCAGTGAGACCCATTTCTGACATTACGTGCTCTGCCACCGCCAACTTCTCTTTACGGGGAAGGTTAGACGGAAGTCGCAAAAACGCAGACAGAATAAGGTGTTCTTTGACGGTAAGACTGTCTGGAAGAACTTCATCGTCCGGAGTGAGAAACGTCTGAAACAAACAGCAATTCGTGAGGGAAAAAGCAGAAAACAGTCAGCATACAAGAAATTTGTGTGGCTTTGCCAGTATATGCAATGCTAGAGGAGAACCTGAGGATTAGAAAGCATACAGAAGTGCCATATGTGAGCTGCTGCCTTCTTCCATTGATTCGAATGTCGCCTTGGTACTTTGCTTTGCGACATAGCCTCCCTGCAAACACACAAGGAAGCGAGGTGTGAGAAAACCGATGAAACTCTAGTAACACCAAAAGCTCTACCGGAAAGCGCTCGAAGTAGAGTAGATTTCCCGGATTGAGAAGGACCCATGATAGTAAGCATTCTGTATGGCTCTGCATACCCTGCGACTCCATCCAAGACGACCTGAGGGGACGAACTGCGCTGCTCAAAACTCACAGTGACATCTTTCCAGGACAAGCTCGCAGCCGACTCTGTATCGACTTGGGAGAGTGGTATGGAGGACGCACTCTCTGGAGGTGGACTAGTGATGGGGCTGGCCTGGCTTGTCAGCGGAGATGGAGAAGGCTGATACTGAATGCTGTACTGCCGCAAAGGTAAATTATCACCAGTAGGACTCTGCGCCATGTTGAAGCCAGTTGCTTGAGCTGAAAGTCTGTTACTCCAGTTTTCTGCTGCTTCCCTGTTTGCTGGAGAATGCTGGGCAATTCCTAAAGTGGCTCGCCTCTAACAGACACTTCCTTCGCCTGTTATCTGGGAGCTTCACTCCATCCTTCCAATCACTCCGTGTTTGAAGATCCTTCATATCTTCCATTCTTATGAGCAACCAGCCGCATTTATCTGAAAGTGCCAAATGCCAGCTTGAGTCCACAAGTGAGCGACTTCCCTCCGGTTATCCAAATAATATCCTCCATCGTAACTGTTAGCATGCCCCTGATAAGACACCAGCCTTCTTTCCAAAAGGCTGGCAGATGTCGAGACAGAGACAATGGTCTTAATCCCTGCTTTTGAATGACGCGTTGTTTTCTTCTTTTCAATCGAGAAACTTTGCCTGTCCGTGTGAATGGAAAAAATAAACCTTCCATCCCTGTCTATCTGACACAAGGATTGACATACGCACCTGTTGGCCTTTACTCACCACCACCGCAGTTTTACAGAACAATTCGGCAGCGGCACCCGGAGAATTATCCGCTGTCTCAAAATTCACGAGCAGCGTTTTCTTGACTTCACTTCATTACGTACATCTGGTGAATTAGTACCTGATAATCTGGCCTGCAGAACTTAGAGAAACATCTAAATTCTTACAGCTCACAGTTTCTTACCAGGTCTACCAGCCGCACAAAATACAAGAAAGGTATATTGTACACGGTCGAACTTGAAAATGCTCACGAATCCATGTCATGGTCATTATCGTTGTCGCCATCGTAAAACTCTTCGTCACGCTGCACACTTTTATCTTGCGTATGTTCTGCAGACAAAGCTCGAAAATAAGACTACTGACAAATGCTATACACCAAACTTACGGTCTAGTCGCTCATCGGGATTAAAATCCTCCTCGTCGAAGTCTGGGAAGTAGGTGTCTGGCGGAACCTGACCCAGATTTTAGAAAGGAGAAACACTAACACACTCGCACAAAAAAACAAATAAAATAAAATAGAAACATGTAGTACCTCATGCATCTGAACCCCTGGAGCATGCTGTATATGACGAAGATTTTCCAGCACTTGCATTTTTATGGCGCTGAGATAAGCCTTTGTATTCAAGTTATCCTATATACAAACATGCATTAGGCCGATAAAATTTTCCATATCATTCTTGAATTACCAGGTTGAGTCCGTGATTGGTTTTCAAGGTGTAGTCGGGCTTGAAATACTTGATATAATCGTTGGACGGTATTTCTGTAAGCCACGTTCATGTAAAGGAAAAAAAAAGATTAATCTGGCATACTTACCATTCGGAAGCTCCGTATCCAAAAGCACACCCGTTTCCACGGTCCAGCAACGCGCAACATTTTCCTTGGTGTATCCTCCTCCACCGGTTACCTTAAAAACCAAGTGAGCTTTGCAAGAGCAAAAAGAAACGGTCCAAAGCATACCAGGAGAGGAATGCCAAGTTTCTTCACAAAATTCACGCACTCCGCATGCCCTGTTAGAATACGTAAGCAAATGTAAGACTGAAGTTGGGAAATAAAACCTTGAATGGAAAGATTAAAGCATCCTAGGCGATCTCCAGCAAGCGAATCAGCTCCACATTGCAGCACCACCGCCCCAGGTTGATAGAACTCAACGACTTTTGATATTACTACTCGAAACAGCCGTATGAAGCTTGAGTCGTCTATTCCATCTTTAAGAGGAACATTAACAGCGTAATATTTCCCTTCTCTCTCTCCAACATCCTGAAACGGTAACAATCAAAACACGTACAAAGTAAGGAGACACACCGACCTTCACGTCCCCAGTTCCAGGAAAGAAATAATCACCGAACTTGTGAAAGCTCACAGTCATTACTCTGAAACGATGGAGACGGCGTGAGCATATAGCAAAGCTAGAAAGCGCAACAAACCTGTCAGTGAGGTAGAAGGCTTCTTCAACGCCGTCTCCATGGTGAATATCGATATCTATGTATAGCACTCGCGGGAAGTACTTCAGAAGCTCCAAAATCCCAAGAACCAAGTCATTGACATAGCAGAATCCCGATGCCTCGCACTTCTTGGCGTGGTGCAAGCCTCCGGCCCAGTTGATTGCAATGTCGCAGAGTCCGTGATTAAGCCTATGTGCAGCATCTGCTTAGCATTTTTCCACCATGGAGCATTTATCAGAGAGCAAGAGAGAAGAAGAGACGTACCAATGGTACCACCCGCGTAAATCTGGCAGAACTCGAAGAGGTTGTCAAAGACTGGACAATCTTCTCCCATGTTATCTACATCGCACACACATCTAGAAAATCAAGCGACAGAAAAATCAAAGGAAGATCTTACACATAAGAAGCTCTTTCGCGTATTGGTCTTGCATTTCTGGAGTTATTCTGTGAAGAAAATCAATGTAGTCTGTAGAATGGAACTGCGCAAGCTCCGCGGGATAAGCTTTCCGAGGTCTCTGTCGAAAGAAAGAAAAAAAATGCATCATCACCAGACGAAAAAAAGCAAAGAAAACGTACATAGATTTCCATCTTGTTGTGGAGGCCATAAGCTAGAACAAGGCTATGCGTCATACACAAGCGATGGGGCTTCATCGGATGATTCGGTCCATAGTAGACGCTTCCAACATCACCTGGAAGGAATCTCGCGAAATCCGTGAGCCGCGAGAGCTGCGTAACGCGCTTACCGTCGTAGAAGTAGGACACTCGATCCTTCGCCGGTGGCATCGATCGGCCGAAGCGCTTTGGCGCGCCCTAGCGCCTAGACAGAAACAAAAACCCTACACTAGTAATAGGTCAAGCAAAGCTCTCACATTTTTATGCGAAGCAGTCTCTCCGCGTTCTTCCGGAGCTTGTGCTGGCGCCAGGGCCGCCGCGCCGCCCCATTCTCATCCTCGCCACCACGAATGGATGCGCCGCCGCCGCTGCCACAGCTCCAAACACCGGTATGTATCATTGGATCCGGCCCCGCTGCCCACACAGCCGCGATCTACACCTCCCGCGCGGAGCTCCAGCCGATCCTCTTCGAGGGATGGATGGCGAACGGCGTAGCGGCGGGCGGGCAGCTCACGACAACGACGGATGTGGAGAATTTCCCCGGGTTTCCACAGGGCATCATGGGAGGGGAGCTCACGGAGAAGTTTAGAGAGCAGAGTCGCCGGTTTGGGACGAGGATCTTCACCGAGACTGTGGACAAGATCGATCTCTCTAAGCGGCCGTTCGAGATCTCCAGCGAGGAGAGGAAAGTCCTGGCGGAGACTGTGATCATCGCTACCGGAGCTATTGCCAAGAGGCTCGACTTCACAGGCTCGGGGGAAGGAAGTGGTGGATTCTGGAACCGCGGCATCTCGGCGTGCGCTGTTTGCGATGGAGCGGCTCCACTCTTTCGAAACAAGCCCCTGGCAGTGATCGGAGGTGGCGACTCCGCCATGGAAGAGGCTTCGTTTCTCACGAAGTATGGCTCCAAGGTCTACATCATCCATCGCAGGGACGAGTTTCGAGCCAGCAAGATCATGCAAAAGAGAGCTTTCGACAATCCAAAGATCGAAGTTCTTTGGAACACCACCGTGGTGGAGGCCGTTGGTAACGAGAGTGGCAGCCTCGCGGGGCTCAAACTCAAGAACACCGTGACGAACGCTTTGACGGACCTCCAAGTTTCGGGATTGTTTTTCGCGATTGGGCACGAGCCGGCCTCAAAGTTTTTGGGTGGTCAGCTCGACACAGACAAAGAAGGATATATACTTACTACTCCAGGAACCACAAAGACCAACATTCCTGGTGTGTTCGCTGCTGGGGACGTCCAAGACAAGAAGTATAGGCAAGCGGTGACTGCTGCCGGTACCGGTAAGTTTTATAATCTCTTTCTTTTGTGATCACTGCTAAACTTTTCGATTCACAGGATGCATGGCTGCACTGGACGCGGAACACTTCTTACAGGAGTATGGAGTCCAGCAGGGAAAGTCGGATTGACAATCACAGGGCTCTAGCCGCCTATAAGCTCGCAAAAACGGTCTAGTTTTTCTAAGGAGGCACTCTTTCATTGTTTGCTCCTCTTCCTTCTCTTTTTGTTACGAGGAGAGAGGTTTCTGGCTTTTGAACGAATTCTTCTTAGTTTTCTAACTCCTTTTCCCAAAGCTACTGGTAAGTAACGTGTGATTCGATCTTTCTGACAGTTCGGTGTTTACATTCCAGGCAAAAAGACTGGCTTGTTACATACAGTTATATGGCTTATATATTTTATAAGTCGATGGAATCAAGTGCATTGCCTGGGAGCAAAACCAACCCGAGACGAATCCAGATCAATGGCGACACGCATAGTCTGCTGCTGGATGTTCCCGATAATGGACAGATCCAACGAAGTCTTCGAGAAGGCAAAGCAAAACGTCCCGGACGTGTCAACCGGCACCAAGTAGTTACTCGGCGGCAACTGGACGCTCGCCCCGCCTTCGAAGTGGAAAGACACAGTCGGGATGGTGACGGAGGTCAGGGCCGAGAAGTCATAGCACGTATCAAATAGCGAGAAGTCGGCTGCCCGAGGCAACTTCTGCGTCGCCGACCGGAACGCGTCCCTCATGACCGTATACGCGTACGTCGGCAGCCGGGTGACGGAGGTGCCCGAGTCGATGATCACGCCCCCGCGTCCGGTGCTGCTCGAGAGCTTGAAAGCCGTGGAAGGGATGGACAGAAGCGTACCTCCGATGCTGATCCCGGACAGGCCAGCGTAGTAGAAGGTGTCGAGCTTGGGATTCTTGAGCAGCTGCGTGTAAGCAAACGAGGCCGAGGTGGGAAGAGCCGAGTCCCCGAAGAGCAGCGCGCTCGAGGCCCGGACGCCATTGTCGCGGCTGACGAGACAGTAGGAGAACTTCCGGCTGGAGAGCTGGGATGGAAACGAGAGCTTCCCAGCGCCGAGGCCGAGAAGCCCCGCGGCGCCAACGAAGAGTCCCTCGTTATCGTGGCCACAGCCGAAGACCACCGGGCTCGTTCGGCCTCGGCTAACCAAGAAGGAGTCCGAGGCGAGGTCCCCGACCGTGAAGGAGCCATCGCCGTACGAGACCTGGTAGAGGCAGCGATTGTCCGTACTCGCGCAAGCTTTGACGTCGAGGAGCTTGCACTGCGGCGTGGAGCACGAGAGGCGGCGGAAGGAGGAGGACGCGCGTGGATCGAAGACGGCGTCGTTTTGCTTGTAGCAGCTCTTGCAAGGCGAGCACTGGATCCAGGGGACGTCGCTGCCGGTGTCCATCACCAGGTACTGGAGCTTGGTGGGCGATCCAATGCCGACGCGCACGAAGTACTCGCCGGATCCAAACGCGAGGCCGGACGTGACCTGGCTGCCCGAGGAGGAATCGGCCTCGGATTGCGAGAAGACGGTGGCGGGCGACGAGGATGCGTTGTGGACGAGCGTGAGATCGCGGTGCTTGACGCCGTTGAGCGCCATTTCGAGGCGCTGAGCGATGGCTTCCACGCGCGCGGCGTCCATCTTGAGCCGCGCCTCGAGCGCCTCGCGGTGGGATCTGGTGGAGTGCGCGGAGAAGTGGCTCGAGTGGACGATGGACATCACCTCTTCTTCCTTCTCCGCTACTGCATTCTTCTCCTCCTCGTCGATCGCTCCTTTGGCCGGACGATGGAGGAGAGATTGGCGCACCGCGTCCACGTCCAGCACTGTGGATTCGTGGCTGCTCTTGAGCAATCGACCGCTGCTACCGGCAATCGCAATTGGCGTCGATCCGGCGAGGAAGAGAAGAAGAGCAAGCGCCAGCATGCACGACGCCATTGAATTCTCTTCCTAGCGCCTTCTATCCGCGACTGATTGATCCGAGCGAGCTCGGCCTAGCACTAATGATTGGAATGGAAGCAATGCATCGATTCAATGATCTCAAATTCTCTCCGCCAGGGCGGGCATGCATTCACTCTCTCGCCAGGATCAGCTTGGGAGGAGCTGCCGCTGCCCTGCACCCAGGCTTTACAAAGGAGAAAGAAGGGGTATTTTCTTACTGTACACCAGTACGGAGGTATACGGGCTTGACCCGATTCGATCCCGTGACCCCTGCTTTTGTTTAAAACCTCTTTGGAGTCTTCAAACAAATGGAGCGACCACAAATCTGGTCTTCGCCTTTGGATTTGTTAACGAATTTCTTGGATTTTTTCCTGGCACCGCTATTGAGAATCGTAACCAAACCACCACTTTGGCCAAGCTTTTTGTTAAAAATACAATGATCCATCATAGCTTTTGTATAAGCGGTTGCTCCTTTGCTTTGCTTCCACCTTTGTGGATGAGAGGCTTCCAAAAGGGAAGTCTTGATAAAAGGCGAAGGTGGTGGGCTTTGTAAAGCTGGAAATGGGGAGGGCCCGTGAGGAGCAGCAGAGATAATGCAGAGCTCCAGCTGGTTTCACAGTCAGGCCTCGCGCGCAGGCTAATGAATGAATGCAAAGGAGGAAAAAAATGGCTCACGCACCATCGTCAAATCCACCAACAGCACCTCTCCTATGTGCCAAGAAATGAAAAAGCTGCTGCTGCTGCTGCTGTTCCTGTTGCTGCTGCTGCTGTGCAGCCCCACCAAAGAAAAAAAAAGAAAGAAGAAAAAAAAGGAGGTGAAGCAACCAGATCAGAGCTCCAAAATGTGAAAGACGGTACGGTACCTTCATCTTTGTTCCCAAATCTCTGGTGGATTCCTCTTTAGCATCTGGAGCACGAAAGCCAAAAGAAAAAGGAGGGGATCGAACGCGTCCGCCGAGACGGGATGAAACGTCAAGTTTGCTCTTCTGTTATGGCTTTGTCCTCTGTGTTTGCTTGCTGCTACTGCAACTACGAGATGGTAAAGGCTGGCAATAAGAAACAAATGCGAAAGGAAGACCATATACATACCGCCACATTTCATGGGAAACTTCAGCTTGCTCTGCTCCTTAATGCAAACCGATTGATTTCGACTGCTCACTGGTCATATTCTTCTTTGATCTCATCCTCCTCGCCTTCAAGGAGAGAGGAGGTACTTCTCCATTCATTGCCAACTACACCAATCAAACAATCCCAATCGGTCAGTGAAGTTTCACGTTTTATCTCAGACTTACTTGTTGCGGTCCGAGACGCAAAGGCGCTTGTCTCGAATGATGGAACTCGCTGCAACACATTTTCCAGCACTTAAACAAAATGCTGAAGCAATAGAATGATTTCTATCAGTATCGCCAAGAGTGGTGATCCACTCGACGAGCAAAGAGGCGTCTCTAGAGAATCACCTTTAAGCACTCAACTCGAGAGTTGAGATTTCTTGAAAGCAACAAGCTGACCATGGAGGCTTTCTCCTGATAAAAGAAATGATCTAAGGACAGCTTGGTCTTTGTCTCCTGGTAAGGTATCCAACTAAGACTGAATAAAATACTTGAGCTACCTTGCTGTGTTGCGCTACTAGAAGTGTACGTAGCTAAAATATCTATCTCGCTGAATGGTGGAATACTCTAGGATGGCTATGTATTTGCTTCTTTCTGCGAACACGATTGATTTCATTAGTTGCAATAGATTTTAAAAATCGAGACACTGGATAGTGCTTTCCACTCGACAACAAAAAAACATAAAAAGTTTGAGAACAAAAAGCGAGGCTTACTGGCTACCTAGAGAGCCGAGACGATCTCAAAGCTGTGTGAAACCAGATCGTGTGTGTTTTCGAAAACAAAACTGCCTCGAAACATTGATCCTGCTTCACAGACAAGAGCTCAGATAAAACAAATACCGTGCACTGCTTACCTTGAAGAAAGTGGGGGTACCAGATGGGATCGTCCTTCCACATTTTGTCTGGGAAAGAAAAATAAAAAACTAAGAAACCGAACAGTTCCAAAGGTCAATCTTACCGAAGGGGATCTCTTGAGTTAAGAACCAACGAGGGCACATTTCTTCTGTTTCGCAAGGATCGCCAACAAAATGCTCGACATGGTAAACATGGACCTAAACATGAACAAAAAGGCGAAGTATTTACACAAGAAAACTCCTGAAAGCCGCCAATCTTACCTCCCATGGCACTGGCTTGTCGTCGAAATGGAAAGTGAGAATGCCACGCTTGTCCATTTTCGTGGGAGTAATTCCAGCTTCTTCCTCCAGCTACAAAACCAAACCACATTAATAAGATTCTCACTTTCTCGTGCCTAAAAAACAGCCCAAACAAACCTCTCTTGCCGCCGCCTGTTCAATCGTCTCCCCGTCCTCTACCTTCCCACCAAACCCATTGAAATACCCTTCTCCGAACCTACACACGAAAACTTAGATGAGTGCCAGAACCAACAAGCACAAAGCCATACCCGCGCTTCTTCATACCAAGAAGAACTCGTCCGTCCTTGTGAACAATGGCCAAAGTCAGAAGCTTCACTTTCGCCTTGGCGGTCATCGCCATAGCAAACAAGAGCTTTCGCCTGAATGGACTGCGCCCTACCAAGGGCGAACTCCTCGACTTTGGTGCCGGACAAGCAGAGGGTATCCAAGGAGCCATCATATCTACAAAGATTTAGCCGGCTGCTGCCCTGGTATCTTACTGGTCCCGTATCGAAAGTTCGTGTTTGCCTCTCTGTCACACATACTATCACGGTCGCAGTCGTCGTAACAGCCAAAGGTCTATCACTTTCGAACGTTTCCCAGCATCCACCAACCAAGTAGCCAAATAAGCTAGCTACCTATAGCTTTCTCCATCTCCGGTGTCTCACATTCTCGCAATGCTGTCGGTCGATCTGATGCTTCGGGGTAGCTTTGAGCTGGGCGGCCATTTCCTCCTATCGAACTATATAGTGATTCGGCTGTTGTTGTCATCAATGTCTTTTATCTCGGCTCAAAGATGCGGCTCCAACCAACACCACGGGGCCGAAACCAATCCCTCCGTGACAGCCGCCAAGAAGCTTTCAACTGACTCACTGACTGCCCGAGTAACTCCCGCTACGAAGTTGTGTATCTGTGTAAATGCGTCTTTGTCGTGTGCCTAGACTATCGTTGCGATTTAAAGTGCCACCCAACCCAAAACTGACTGACTGCTGTAGTGTTGGAGTGTTTTTTTGTTCTCTGCCACCCCTGTTTTGTTAGTTTCCTCAGATCCGCAACAGAAAGATACTTAGCTCGGGTCCCCCAGTTCCATCCGGATTCATCATGTAAAACGCTTCCGAGTCCTTTGATCCCACCACCCTCTCGAAGCGGGCTCTCATATACATGAGCTCGCCATCAGCCCCTTCCTCGTCCATTGGCAAAACCCCGGCACCCATCGAAACCGCCTGGACCATCCTCAGTATCTGTAGATCTGAATCGGAGCAAATCCTCCGCAGAGCGTAGCCACTCTTCCTGCCGTTGCAGTACATCGTCCACACTTGCTCCAGGAAGAGCTTCCCCCGATTCATCGTCCTCTCGCATTCTAGAGCAATCCTGACAAGCCCGGACGCCATCTCTTTCACCAGCGTACTCGTTGGAGTGGTAAGTTCCAGCAGCAGCACCGGAGGTGACTTTGGATCCTCTTGCACCGCGAAGTGGACATGGCCTTTCCTGTTGCCAAAGAGAGTGCCAGTGACGCGGCTCCCTAGAGCGGAGGACTCGGACGGCCCTCCGGGAAGTGACATCCGGCGGCACGCGATCTGGACGGGCAGGAAGTGGAAGAAGGAGCGGAAGGCCGAGAAGAGCTTCTTGTGGCGATTGGATGTGGTCCTGGAGAAGGGAAACATGGCCGAGAAGGCCGCGTACTTGGAAGGATCCCTGGAACTCGGCGAGCTCTCCAGCTTCTTCTGGTCCGATGCTGCGCCATCGCTGCCGCTCTTGGATTTCGACTTGTCCATGGCGATATTCTCCTCTCCCTTCATCATCTCGGGAGAGAAATGCGGCGACTGGCAGCCGATCACGACGATTGCCCTTCGATCCCGGAAGAAAACCGACCGAATTCCCTCGAACGGACGAAATTCCAGGCACTAAGCGGTGGCAGCTCCCACGCCGACGCGAAATCTAATCTGGGATCCAAGAAACGAGCAAGAATCATCCAGCTCTCTCGCGAATGCTGCCGATTGCCGATAATCTAGCTAGAACAGTACCAGCGCATCGAGATCGATCGAGGCCGAGGCTCCTCCACTCTTCGTCGTCGTCGCCTCCGCAAACGCCAATTTAGAGAGGAAATAAAGTACCCTAGCCTTCCATTGACCCCCATGGTTTAGTTAAGCCTTCTTTAGTTAACAGTGCCGTTAAATGACAGCATGATGATACATTAGATGGCGTGCATGGATCCGCATGCATGGATAATGATGTTTTGGGCCATGGCCCATTAGGACATCCCATACCATGATCTAACAACAATGTATAGATTTATCAATAGTATGATCATAGAATTATGTTTTCAAGCACATGCAAGCGTAAGAAGATTCCAATTGTTTAATCAGGCGGGTTGGCTAAGCAACCAACAATGCTATTAAATCAGACTATTATACACTAGAAGAGCTTTTCTCTCGGCTTTTGGCCTTAGTTTAGAGCCGACGCTTTGTTTTGAGGTGTTTGGAGGAACACGAGGACGAAAGAGCGGCGAAAAGAAATCCAATGTATGTGCTTCCAATGTTCGTATTTTCTCGCACACTATTCTCTCCCGATGGCTCCCAGCCTTGTTTTTCTTCGCTTTATACTTTTTATCTAGTGCTGGATTGCACCAAACTCTTTCATGTGCAAGGTCGATCATGTCCAGCATTTAAGCTCCCTTTTTCTTTAGCAAAAATCCCCATCAGAATTTCCAAACCTATGAGGGTTGATGCCGCAGGGAATCGAACACTGACGGATCCATTCACCCTCACGACATTCCTGCTGCTTGGATCGAGCATTCAAGAGCTCTTCAGGCATTTGTTAAAACCCATGGTACTGTACCCCTGGAAAAAGTGGTACGGCAACTAGAAAAAATGGAAGCTACGAAGAAAAAAAGCCCCACGAGGAAAAAACCTGTTTGGTACCACTCGCCTGACTCACTTGTTTTTTAAATGTGTTTTTCTTCTGAATTCTATATTAGTGAAGAAAAAATATTAAGATCTGGTCAGGAGATGATCTGATCTATATACATTCTAGACGAGCTATAGTTCTGTCCCAGTTTCGTCTTGTCTGCCTAGGCGTGAAGTGAAGGTTCCTTTTTCCCCATGCTGCGCCTGCGTCCTTTTGTTCCCACACATTTTATGGATTAGTTTATAGGCTCTAAACTATGATAAAAGATTATTATTTAAATGTAAAGGCCTTTAACTTTTAAGAAGTGACCTTGCTGAAGTCTGGAAGCCAAGGTGGGCGCAATGTCTCCAAGTAGCATGGCCACCACCCGCGACATGCAGATCAACGAAATTGTTAGTACCCTCTGCAGCTCTTTCTTTGGGCATGTCTCTGGAACAAGTTTCTCGTCGACAGATCCACCCATCGACGCTCCTCATATAGCTCACAAGCCCATGAAAATTCACTTAATAGAGACTTTTACATTCCAGCAGAAATGACTTTGCTACCCGGCCCTCGGCCTTAAGAGACTATTGTTTTCAAGGAACTCGTAGACAAGAAACTGGTCTTCTCCTCGTTGGAAATGGAGTGAGCTTTTATTTGCAAGCACTTGATGGCAACTGGTCCAATTCTTTGTACATTTCCCTGATTGATCTCACAACCACAAACCAGATCAAAATAAAGTTAAGTTGTGTTTACCTTGTCAGCTCCCCCTTCCCGTTCTCCAGCCGCATGAAAATTTGGATGGCAGCAATGCAAAGAGCTGAAATATATCGAGCTTGCAAAAGCTTTTGGTTCATCTAAGCAAATCAAAGAAATGCATGGTAGTAAGAAAGTTTAAAACTTATCTCCCTTTTCAATCCGAAAAGACTTGTCAATCCGAATGCCAAGGCAGTCAGAACAGCGATTGATAAAACCTTGAGTTTGTTTGTGGGTTTTGCATTTGGAACTGGTGCCTGTTTCACACAAAGCTTGTCAACATCTAAGAAGAAAAACTCACTTGAAGCACTGCATGGGTATCCTCCAAATGCTTTGAGCGCCGCCAGGTCCACTTCCAAGATAACTCCGCTTGGTCCAACTCCCAGTGATTTCCATCCCGAGATTTGTGAAAATGTCGGACGACCATGCGCAAATTCTGAAGTTCCAACTGTTGAGTTGTAGAGCACCAAGTTCCAATCCTGCTGGAGCAGGAGATAGCAATTAGGCTGCTCCACCACTTGGCCTCGCACTTGGCCTCCAGGCTGAAGCCAAATCGTGTTGTTTTTAGCAGTGTTCATGATCCGGCCGCAAAGGGAGCGAGGATGGAACAAGAGGGTGATGGAGATGCCATCTCTTGGCGATCGGCGGAAGGCGGAGCCGCCACAGTACGAGAGCTCGGGGTGGATAGTGGCCAGCAAATCGCCCAGTGCGTCCTTGATCACCCCCTTGTCGAATTTTTCCAGTTGGGCATTCTCTGCAAACAAGTGTAGCGGAGACGCAGCTCTGCGTTTTTCGCTGCACTTGTTTCGAGAGAATGCCCAAGCACACACGATGCCGTTGCGGTCATCGCGAATGCCATCCTCCAAGCGAGAGTGCTCTAGCTGCAATGCTTTAATTTCATTGCGTATGCAGTTCGGCATCTAGTTGACGGCGAGCTTGACCAGACCAGTTCCATGCATTTACCCATACGAGGCATCTTTCGTACAGGAAATTACTACTTGTCTTGGTTCACATTGCCGTGCGAATTTCGTTTCGTTTCGTTTCCTCAACACCACCCAAACTTTATCTAGGACGCAAAATGACAAGGGCAAAAGCAAACTTTAATGTGTGATGGCATGATTGAAACTCTGTTAATTGCCGCAGTATATTTTGACACATGGTCCGTGATCTTGACTTGGAATTGGTTCAAGAACATTCTCGAGTTGCAAGGATGATTTGTCATGGACGAGCACTTCAAGAGCTTTTGACTAAATTACCTCGCTTTGTTCTCCTTTGTACTCATACACTTCTGAAAGGAGGCATTTTCCTTGATGATGGCGCTTCCGCGGCCATGGCCATCCATGTTTCCAGTTGGGCGTGGCATGGGAAATCGAGAAGCCTTGCGATGCATCATAGAGAGGAATTCCGAACATTTCTTCAAACGAAGCACAATGCAGGGACAATTTGGTTTTATCTGATTGACGACGTGCTTACAAAGCTACAAAGTCATGCGACTCAAAGATTCTATATCCTTTACAAATGTGCAGCATATGCCTGGGCATTTTCAAGGCAGGCAGTTACTGCTTGTACTGGTTCACTTGGCCGTGTAATCTTTCACTCTACCTAGTCTAGACCACAACAACCGTTCTCTCCTTTTTGGAGGATCAAAGCAGACGGTCCTCTGTGGTATGATAAAAACTCCATTTGTGTTGCATATACCCAAGTGTGGGATGTTGGATACATCACGTTTCACTGCTCAGCGACCTGATTCGCTTGGACATAACTCTCGACTCACGCCTCCGGAACCACCATCCTCGAAAATTCTTGATAAAGATGGTCTCGAGCATCTGGACGACATTGCTCATGCTGGGCCTGTCCGGCTGGATGCACCAGAATGCGACCCGAAGAGCCATCTCAAACTGCTCCCAGTCGATGCTCTTGGCCGTCCTCGGATCTGCTGTGGATTTCATGTTTCCCGTTGTGTACTACTCAAATGCCCAGACTGGGAAGTACCAGCGCCCGCTATTCATGGCTGGGGAAGAACATAAACTTGTCCCTTCCGCTCCCGAGCAGAACCATTCCAAAGCTGTACACGTCTACCTTTGGAGCGATTGCAACCATGCTGATCCACTCCGGCGCCATGTATCCTCGAGTGTCTCTCGCGGTGGTAACGTTTGCACTGCTCTCTCGCTTCATCAGCTTCGCGAGCCCAAAGTCGGAGACTTTTGGATGGAAGTTGTCGTCGAAGAGGATGTTTTGAGGTTTGACGTCGCAGTGGATGATGCATTCCTGGCACTGCTGGTGGAGATAAGTGATCCCTCTTGAGATGCTCAAGGCAATTGCCAACCTTGTTTTCCATTTGCACAAAGTTTGAGGTATCTGGGAGCTCGCTTCATCCACTTGTAGGCCTGGAGTT